TTTAAAAAAATTAGAGGTAAATTTCCAATAAATTAAATTGTTAAAATTTATAGAAAAAAAATTGATATAACTCATCCCAAACAAAATTTGTAACTTGGTAATCCTACAAGGATAATCATTTTGAAAGGAAATTAAAAATGAATAAAATTACAAAACATTAATTATTAAACAATCCAATTTAAAACTGGAAAACAAATTAAAACTACATAATTTGAGTAAACTCAAGTTAATTTGCTAACACTGTAATCATAAGTATTAAAATTAAAATAACCTTAAAAAAAACATAAAGATTATTTTCAATAAATTAAATTTGATATAAAAATTAAAATAAATATGAAGGATACAATTGAAGAAAAAAAACTAATTTAAAAGATAAAATAAATAGAAATTAAAAAAATAAAAATTAAATTAAATATAAAAATAAAAATAAATATCAGGATACCTTTATATTTTGATAAGAAAAAAAAATAATAAAAAATATATATCTATCTAAGCCTAAACGCTACTCTATCATGCACATACACCTAATAACTAGAAAGATTACAGTGATACACCTCTAGCACGCCCATGAAAGGAGGTTTCTAGCTATGAATCGATACCTCATGGGTTGCCAAAAGGGTGTGAGAGTTAAACGCATGGGCCAATTATTTTTGTTTTAAAAAAATCTTTATAAATTAAAAATATTATAACTTGATAATAACTAAAACTATATGTTGAAAATACCAAAAAACAAATCCTTAGAACACCAGTTGAAAAGTTTTACTTTTAAGAACAAATTAATCATTTCAATATATCTACAAAATAAAAAAAATCAAATTATTCATGATCAATTTGAAAATAATTATATTAGCCTAACAGCTACCTTAATAGCTAGCTCATTGGGTTTTTTCCAAAGGGCAAACCAATAATTGTATTATTATGGTGTGTAATGATTTGTGTCTAGGGAATTCACCTTGCCTTTCAATTTTATTTTTTTAATTGAATAATATGGTCAAATTTTAATGGCATCTATATTTCACGATATTTATATGGTGAAACAAGGAGGAAAAATGTGCAATATTTGTTTTTTTTTTTTAAGGAAGAAGTTCATTTCCACTCAAATTAAAAAAAAAGTATTATATTTTTCACTTCTATGTATATTGAAAATAAACTTATATCCTAAATATAGATATCATATCATCTCTTCAAAAAATCAATAAATAAACTTATATCTTAATAATATTTATCTGTCAGCAATTGTCTTTAATAGTAATATAAATTTACCTTCAAATTAAGTTAATTTTATTTTTACCATCTTAGCTGAGATTTTAAAGTCAAAAGGTGTATTTGATAACTTGAATTGTGATTAAATCAATAATATTATTAACATTGGAAATCCAAATAATAATGCATTAAACACCATCTATCTTTACTAAACCCTCACCTCCTAATAATAATTTGCAAGCTATAGCTTACCAGTAATTGCCAATTTGACATTTTCTATTGGCAATTACAGGTAAGCTAGCAGAGACGTGATAGCGCCATACTGCCATGGATTCAAGCTCAGTGAAGACGTAAAGTTTGGTACATTCCATGCGAGAAGACTTGTCAGGGAAACCCCAAGCTTCCATCTCTTCCGGCAAGCAAATTAAGAGCCAGAGGCTGGCCCTTTCCTCTTTGTTTTTGGTTTTTTCTTTTCTTCTTGCTCGGTGTCTTCGATTTTGGCTCAGTTCATCGCGCACCCTTTTAAGAAAGAAAAATATCTTCATCAATGGTAAATCATCTCTATAAAGGCTAAAAATCATTTTACAATTGCCTAAAACTAACAAATATATTATTGATACAATTAAAAACATTTATTAATTTAACATAAATGAATAAAATGTGATGGCGGCATAAATGGGAATATTACCATTAATTTGTTTTATAGAAGTTCTTGAATTGCACGATAAAAACAAATTATTTTCATGCATGGTTCAAGGTTCAAACTACTTGATTGAATCTGCTCATGAAAGAAAAAGGAGAAAATAGCGACATTAAAATCAATGTTTTTATTTTTTTTTTAATGATCGGCCAAGTTTGCTCTCTCCCCTCTCTTGGTGGCGCCATTTTCTCGTCCGTTAAGGACTAAAGTATAAAATTAATAAATTTGTATGATTGAAAGATAAAATCTTAAAAAATTATAGGAATCAAAGTGCAAAAAAAATTCACTACGAATAATGTAATTAACGGTGGCTTGTGAATGCATACACGATGTAGTAAGAATTTTTTAAGATTGTTATCAAACTTAATCTAGAAGGTCAAACTTGAAAATTCCTAACTTAATTTTATATTTTTTTAAAAATTATTTTTTATTTAAAAATATAATAAGAAAATTCTTGCAAAGCCAATGGTCAACCCAATATCAAATTGTTTTGTAAATTGCAATTATTTTCTCTAAAATAATCCATTATAGTCTTGGTAGCAAATTTGAAATGAAACATTCAAACAAAGTCTCAGTGTTTTGTATATGGTTGAAGAAACAATATTGATAAATATATTAAAATTATATAAAAAATATATTAAAATTTACAAAAAAAAATATAGAAATTTTATGTTAATTAAATATTCATAGTTTTTTTATTTCATATTAGGCACAGAATAATTGGAAAAGATTTTAAACTTCATATAAAAACCTATAATATTATTTGAGAAAAGTGAAGAAAAATTGAATAATATTTTTTAAAGTGCATCTAAATCCAAATTCAAAAAAAAAAACTTAATATCAATTAAATATTAGGATGTTTGTTTAAAATCATAATAATCCCATAAAAAGTAAAATAAAATAAAATATGAAGAGTAATTAAATATTAAAGAAAAAAATTATGAAAAAATAAAAAAAAACTTTGTTTTAAAGGATAAAATTAAAAAAACCTAACAAATAAAAAAAAATCAAAGGATAAAAAACATTCATGCTCATGAGCCTTTTTCAATATATATATTTTTTTTGAGTAATTATAAACTCTCTTTTATTAGATAATTTTATGATAACATAACACTTTCAACACTCTTAAAAACTAGAAAAATAAATTAAAAAGTATCATTTAATAAATTTAAAATTATATAGAGACTTTTTACGCTCTTGAGTCTTGACTTAATATTAAAAAGGTAAAAACAGATAGAATTCCACGTAAAGTTTACCACAAGGACGAAGAACCCTAAAAAAAAATCCCGAAGCCCAAGAACAATCGTTTGTGTCCTTAACCACTCAGCCACGTGAACTTATTTCTCACTTCGATCCCAACAGCTATTTGTATTTTAAACAAACTTCCATGGTAATAAAATCACATGAGCGTGAACTAAATAGTTAAATCTATGTCAAATTTTTTAGCTGTTAATAAAATAATTTTAGTTTTAATTTATAATATTTATTTTTTATTGATGAGTAAATTGATTTAAAGCTGCCCCTTACCATTAAATTATCAAAAGATAACCCAACTTGACACCCACCGATTCATTTCTTCCCTTGTCTTTGCGTTACTCGACAGCTCATAATGAGCGTGTTTTGGCTAGCGGCAGCTGTTGAATTTTGAAGGAATCACAAAAAATTATGCTTTTTAAGTAGAAACTCAGTTTTTTTTAAAAAAAAAAAAAAAACTTGCACCAGTTTTTATAAGGAGTTCTAACCTCAATTTTTTTTATAATCATTAAAAAATAACTTTTTAAAATAATTTTTTTTTATCATAAATCTATTTGCAGTATCATACACATCTATTAAAATTCTTTTTATTAAATCTGTGAGTGGAATACTTATTTATCTTTTTTTTAATTTGGAAATCACATCTTTATTGAAGAATCCATCAATTGATTGTCAAATTCTAATAAAATCCTATTTATCAACTTTTATAATAACTCCCATTTTCTCACACGCCATACAATAACACATATTTATCTCTCTAAAACCCTCTTTCAACCCCCACAATTCATCTCATTCTCGTTTTAAAACCCCTTCATTTTTGTCTCTCCATAACACAAGACTCCACGGCCTAAATAAAAACTTCTATTCAAACATAGCAGATAGTCAAAGATTGTATTAATAATCTAATTTATAATATTTTAACTCCAAAACTATAAAATTAATATATGTATCTTTTTAATCATATTATTTTTAAAATTACTTTTGAATATATTTTTAACTAAACACTTTTAAACTATTTTTTTATTCAACATCAATTTTAATCATAGTTTTAATTAAATATATATTTTATCAAATCAACCATAATTAAAAATATTTCTATTTAAATTATTTTTTAAAATTATAACTACAAAAATTATTATAATAATATCAAACATCGTAAGCACGACACCACATCAGGTGCATGCTGTCTATGCGACCAGGAAGCTGATCATCACAGGATTGGCTTTCGATGACAGCATCTGCCCAAACACATAATTTGGTGAGTTAAGAGCCGAGAATTCTACCAATTGGTTGAATCAATTTACATGCGAGTTTAAATTATTATTTTTTAAGTATTTTTGAATTATATTAATGTGTTGATGATAAAAACAATTGTTTTAAAAAATATATTTTAATATATTTTTAAATAAAACATAATTTTTAAAAAATATCAAAAATACAAACACTACTTAATTAATATTTAATATCTGGCTAATTGGTCAACTACATACAGTCTTACCTGACCCGTCTCACTTGGGCAAAGACTCTGGACTCAGCCCTCTCGAAGCGCAATTACCGGGTACGCATGTTCAAAGACTTTGGACTCAGCCCTCTCAAAGCTCATAAATCCCAGACGCGCATCTTTCTTCTCCAGCCAATGACTGACTTCTTGTAAAGGAGTCGGCTGTTATGTTATTAAGAAATAAATAATGCTAAAAATTTAAACAAAAAATACGATAAAAAAAGTTTTAAGAATACACATAAAAAAATTATAATTTATGTGTCTTTTTAAACTTTTTTTTTTAATGTTTGGCATTATCTTCAAGAAAACTAGATGCTATCACGTACTCATTTATGAATTGTTCTTGACCAACTCTATATATACACACATCGAACCCCTCAACAAATTCAAAGCCGGACACGGAATCAAAAACAATGAGAAAATCACTTCTTGTTTATCTTTCCCTCCTCTCCAGTATTTTCTATTTTACATTCCCTTCAAATGCCATCTCCTCCTGCAATGGCCCATGTCAAACATCCGATGACTGTGATGGCCAGCTAATTTGCATCAATGGAAAGTGCAATGATGATCCCGATGTTGGCACTAACATATGCAGTGGAGGCAGTAGTCCATCACCTCCAGAGGGCAACTGCCAATCCTCTGGCACCCTGACATGTGGAGACAATTCCTACCCTACATACACTTGCTCACCTCCAGAGTCATCCTCAACAGATGCACAGTTAACTTTAAATGATTTCAGTGAAGGAGGCGATGGGGGAGCCCCATCAGAGTGTGATGAGAGTTACCATGCTAAAACGGAGCTTGTGGTGGCACTTTCGACAGGATGGTTCGCTGGGCGCTCAAAGTGTGGGAGTATGATCAGAATCTCTGCTAATGGAAGGAGTGTGACCGCCAAGGTCGTAGATGAGTGTGATTCCATGCATGGATGTGATAGCGAGCATGCGAATCAGCCACCATGTAAGAATAATATTGTTGATGGTTCTGATGCTGTGTGGGAAGCCTTGGGTCTGGATAAAGAAGTAGGAGTTGTGCCCGTTACATGGTCTATGGCCTAGACGACGAACGATCGATGATCATGTTGGCGGGCATGAGAACCAGAGGTTTTTTGGACAATTCACTTGGTTCCAAGGCTTCGGGTAATAATGGAGTGATAAATCAGTCGAGGAACTAGCTAGTACTCACATGAAGGAGTGCCAGAGTCTACGAGTATGTAACAGTAACGTAATCAATAAAATCGAGGGATTATTAATTAGTTGTATTCCAGTAATTGTATACACCAACCTTTGATCAAGTTCCTCTTTGGTGAGGAGTTTATTTGTTCTCTACTCAAATTAAGATTTAATTAAAAAGTTGCCTCTCCCACTTATATCGATCTTAGATTAGATATAATCTCTTCAAAAAATCAAAAAATAAACTATTAATAATATTTATCTGTCAGCAGATTTCTTTTAATAGTAAGATAAAAATGTATCTTCAAATTAAATTAATTTTATTTTTACCATCTTAGCTGAGTTTTAAAGTCAAAAGGCGAATCTGATAACTTGAATTGTGATTAAATTAATAAATAATATTAACATTGAAAATCCAAAAAATAATGCATTCAACACCAACTTATATTGACCAAACCCTTACCTCCTAATAATAATTTGCAAGCTATAGCTTACCAGTGATGGCCAATTTGACATTTTCTACTGGCAAATACAGCGAAGCAGGGACGTGATAGTGCCGTACTGCCATGGGTTCAAGCTCAGCGAAGACGTAAAGTTAAAAACTAGGCCACTTGAACTTATTCATCGTTGTGATCCGAACAGCTATTTGTATTTAAACAGACTTCTTTGGTAATAAAATCATATGAGCGTGAACTAAATAGTTAAATCGATCTAAAAAAATTTAGTTGTTAATAAAATAATTTCAGTTTTAATTTATAATATTTATTTTTTTATTGATGGGTAAATTGGTTTAAAGCTGCTCCTAAGCGTTAAATTATCAAAAGATAACCCGACACCCACCGATTAATTTCTTCCCCCGTCGTTGCCTTGCTCGACAGCTCAGATCAAGCACTGAGACAACCCAACAGGTGCATGCTATCTGTGCGACGACCAGCAAGGTGATCATCACAGGATTGGCTACCGATGACAACGTCTGCCCAAACACATAAACAATATCACCCAAATTCTTGAATGAAAGAAACAAAACAAAACCCTTCATGATCCGGTTTTTACATTTCCTTTTCTTAAAATCCGGGGACAATTGCATCTCTCATTTTTCACCTTTACTTTGCTTATTTTTATTGAAAATAAATGCCCTCGCTAGATGTGTAAAATTTAAAATTGAGGGTTGAAGATGTGGTTGAGAATGTGATAGTGATTATTTATTGAAATATTTTTTATTTAAAAATATATTAAAATAATATATTTTTTTTATTTTTTAAAAATTATGTGTGCATTAAAATAATTTTAAAAATTTTAAAAATTGATGAAAGACGCGTTCTCGAACCGCCTCTTAGTATTAACCATGGACTATAAATGTTTTCAACTTGATATGAAATGGTTAATGCAATGACTTGCAAGTTCGTGGCTCGATGCCAAGTCTAGACCCTGGTGAGTTAAGAGCCGAGAATTCTACTAATTGGTTGAAGCAGTTGACATGCATTTTTAATAATGTGAATTCTAAACAGATTAACTTGATTGTTGTCAAATGATAATATAATGAGACTATATAGTTACATTTCTGTAGAATTTTAAAGCAGAGAAGAGACATGAGACAATGCAGTAAAACATAGTTCTACATTTATAATATTTTTATTCTGGACATATATATATAGACACACATGCATACATACAAAAGAAAAAACTTGCTACAAGGAAAGACAATTCTACGTATTATTTTTCCTACAATATGCTAAAATAATAAATATACAATAACATCTAAAATAACATCTAAACTAGATAATAAATAAGTTATACTTGGTAATATCATAATAGTAAAGATCTTCAAAATCGCTTTAATATCTTCAATACCCCCCTTAAGCTCGATATAGCGAATTGATGGATTCAAGCTTGCTTAATAACTGATGAAATTGAGTGGAAGATAAGGCTTTGATAAGTACATCAGCTAGTTAATCATAAAAATACATATACTGAGGATGGATGAGTTTAGCTTGAACTTGCTGACGAATATAATGACAATCTACTTCAATATGTTTGGTGTGTTCATAAAATATCAGGTTGGACACAATATAAATAGCAGTTTGATTGTCACAAAACAATATCATAAAAGTGATAGTAGAAAAACCTAAATCTCTAATGAGTTGTTTAAGCCATATCAGTTTATAAGTAGCAGAAATCATAGCACGATACTCTATTTTAAACATTGAGTGAGTTACTATTGATTGTTTTTTGTTTTTTCAAAACACTAAATTTTCTCCAACAAACATACAATATTTAATGATAAATCAATGATTAAGAGAATTTCTTGCCTAATCAAAATTAGTATAGTCATGAAGTTAATATGACCTCTGAGAGTCATAAGAATGCCATGACCAATTGCCTCTTTTAGATACAGTAAGATACATTTTACCATACCATGATGCTAACTGTTGAAGCATACATATATTGATTGATAAGGCTGACCATAAATATAATATCCAGTTCGAGTGATTATTAAATAAATTAATTTACCAACAATCTTCTGATAATGAGTGCAAGAAGTGAGAGGTTCACTTGAAGGGTCTAATTTTCACTTGCTGTCTAAAGGGTTTGTAACCAACTTTGTGTGTTACATGTCAGCATCCTTCAATAGATCAATGACATATTTACGCTGATTAAGAAAATAACCTATACTGGAGGCGGCCATTTCAATGCCTAGGAAGTACTTTAAGGAGCCAAGATCCTTAATCGAAAATTGTTGTTGAAGCTCCCTCTTAAGTTAAGTGATTGAGTCATTATTACTCCCTGATTATAATCAGATCATCTACCTATATTAGCATAACTAGTTTATGAGAGGAACCAAGTTGAATAAATAAAGAAGAATTTGTAGAACTTCTTGTAAAACCAAGATTGTCAAGTGTAAAACTCAATTTTGCATGCCAGACCCGAGAACTCAGGCCATAAATAGACTTATAAAGTTTGCAGACAAGTGTGGTGTTTCCATTACGTGGATGTCCAGGAGGAAGTTTCATGAACACTTCTTCAAGTTCTCCATGTAAAAAGGCATTTCTTATATCCATTTGACATAGGAACCATGTGAAGCCAACCGCCTTAGTAAAAAATGGTGGGAGAAGGTGTAGTCATCCTTTTACACCTTAGTCAAAAATGATGGGAGAAGGTGTAGCCATCTTAGTTAAAAATTGTATGCATCAAATTGGTGTTATTTGTCTAACCCCTTGTCTTTTGCATGGATGCTTGCCTATAAATAGGCAATGCATCCAAACATTATAAACACACCACAAGAGAGAAAGAAGAGAGGGTGAGGAGAGAGTAATCCCATAAAATTATGAGGTATTTGTGAGATAGTAAGTGAGGTGTTTTCTCCTAATAATAGAGAGATTTTTTGTTGTTCTCCTATTATTAGAGAGAAGTTGTATTCCCACATTACTTAGTAAAATCCTTCTATACTTGCCCGTGGATGTAGCCAAATTGGGTGAACCATGTAAATTCTTGTGTGTCATTTCTCATTTTATCTTGTCCCTTACCTTTTGTCTTATCAGGTTTGCATGCCAGTATCCTAACAGTGGTATCAGAGCCTCCTGATTGGTGTTGTTAATACACAAAAGTTATTCATGTATACAGTTACTATTCACCTATACGGCACTATTCACCTACGACACTATTCATCCATACGGTACTGTTCACATACGTTGCTGTTGGCATATATAGAAAGTTAGTGCAGTGATTAAATACAGTCTAGGAAGTTCTGTCTAAGGAGATTGGGTTTTAAGCGGGACCATTTGTTTCTATATACGTTACAAATCTGTGAAACGGTGATAGCTGAATAGATCTTGGTGAATACAATGGCAGTAAAGTATGAGATTGAGAGGTTTAATGGGAGCAATTTCTCATTGTGGAAAATGAGAATCAAGGCAATCTTAAAGAAAGACAATTGCTTGGCAGCAATTGGGGATCGGCCCGGGGAGATCACTGATGATGCAAAATGGAATGAGATGGATGGCAATGCTATTGCTAACATACATTTAGCATTAGCCGATGAAGTATTATCAAGTGTGGCGGAGAAAAAAACAGCTAAGGAGATATGGGAGACTCTAACAAAGCTATACGAGTCCAAGTCTTTGCATAATAAGATTTTCTTAAAGCGAAGACTTTATACCCTTCAAATGGTAAAAACCACATCGGTAACTGATCACATCAACATAATAAGAACTCTATTTTATCAACTCACTACATTGGATCAGCAAATAGAGGAAAATGAACGTGCAGAGCTTCTACTTCAAAGTCTTCCTGATTCATACGATCAACTCATTATCAACTTGACAAATAATATCCTCTCAGATTATCTAGTCTTGAAGAATAAGAAAATAGGCGCAAAAACAAAGGAGACAAAAACAGTTCAAACCAAGCAGAGGTGTTGTTGGTGTCAAGAGAAAGATCAACGGAGCGTGGCTCTAGTGGGAGTCAAAGACAGGGGAGGTCCAAATTAAGAAGTAAGAAGGCTATGAAATGCTACAACTGTGGCAAAAGGGGGCACTTCAAAAAAGATTGTTGGTTTAAAAAGGGTATAGAGAATACTGCAAAGTCATCAAAATCTCAAGGATGTGTTGCGAGCACCTCAGAAGATGGAGAGATTTTATATAGTGAAGCAGCGACAATCTCTACAGATAAAGAAGAGCTCACTGAGGTCTGGCTAATGGATTCAAGAGCAACATAGCATATGACTCCTAATCGAGATTGGTTCCGTACATATAAACCCATCTCTGAAGGTAAAGTGTTCATGGGTGATAATCATGCTTTAGAGATTGTTGGCATTGGCACCATCAAATTGAAGATGTATGATGGCTTAATTCGTACTATTTCAGAAGTGCGACATGTGAAAGACTTAAAGAAGAATCTTTTGTCCATGGGACAATTTGATAGTCTTGGCTGTAAGATCCGAACAGATAATGGAATTATGAAAATCATCAAAGGAGCGCTGGTGGTTTTAAAGGTAAGAAAGACAGTTGTAAATATATTTGCATTAATGAGAGAAACACATCATGAGGCAGAAGCATCAATCGCATCAGCCAGTCCTGCAGAAGAGAAGACGATGATGTGGCATCAAAAACTAGGTCACATGTCAGAAAAAGGTTTA